GGAATGGGAGACTTATCACGCGTACGTTCCGGGTACCTATCACGACCAGCTGCTGCTCGCTCTGGTCTCTTTTCACGCTCCTGCGTGTCTTCAAGACCTCGTCGGATTACTTGCATACGATTAACCTGAACATGCTCCTATTAAAATGTTGAGAACTTAGAAATCTACTTCTCTCTTTGACTAACTCACCTCTACCGATAACGCTTGCATATCGTTGTAGTAAGTGTCAACTTCAGTGAGAGTCGCACGAAGCATTCCTGTCAGTTTCATAAATACAGCACGCATATCCTCAGCAGGAACTGACCGTAGATCGATACTACCCTGAAGGCTCCACAGTTAGCTATAAATACAGACCTACAAAATTCCATTCGAATTCATTTTACACCTCGGAAAACATTCCGCTTCCTCAAGAATGCGATGACAACACAGTTTTGTTGCCATCGCATTTCGCGGAGGGCGTGTCAGCGCTAATGAGTTTGGCGCGGCGCCAACCCGTTATCCTTTTTTCTCTTTCGAAAAGCTACAAGACTTGTCATGTCGCTCCTATTTATATTTTCTCATCAGTTGCTGTTGACGATGAAGAGCCCACTCCAACAACTAGTGAAGAGCGGACTGGCGGCGCGCCAAACGCAGCCCTGGGCAGAGAACAAGACTATAATAATCATCAGGCGGGAAGGGGCTTCTTGAAGAACTTCTTACCATAACTAAAACTACCATACCGGAGACGAGGAGTTCGGCCTAGGCCTGAAGGGATGAAATAGCTTCGGAAGTGATCCCTTACTCAGAGGATGGTTACTCTATCCAGACACGGCAGTTCCACTTTTGCAAAAAGAGTTGTAATTGCCCCCATCATGTTAAACCTTAGATGCTATTTGGTAAATCAGTATATCTGGCGCCAATTTCGGTTTAGGGGCTTTCGCAGTTTAAGGCAGAGTATTTCGCTCTTTCTTGCCAATGTATCGGTCCGTTTTGCGGAACATGTTAGCATTTGTGCCTATGAAATGGCACGAGCTCAATACCGCGCCGTTTCGTCTTTGGCTTTTCTCTATTTCATGTTACACGGCATTACAGGAAATCAGAAGAAATATCTAAAAGCGTGTTCATACTCCACGGCAGCGTTTTGAGCGTCTGTTAGCGTTTTGAGCGTTCTGAGCGATGAGGAAAGTATAGCTACCCAGCCAGCGTTCCGAGCGACCGCCAGCGTTTCCAGCGGTAATCTATACCTATACTTTCGTAACTGAAAACGCTAAAAACGACACTCAGTACGCTGCCGCAAAGTAGAAACGCACTCAACAGCTAGGCGAAGGAGAAATTTTGCTCTAGCCTGATATGGAAGTAGTTCCACTGCGATCGAACTTATTGGTGCAACATGTGATTTGAAAAAAAATAACTCGTAACATTCCAGCTTCCAGCATAATGGTCTGCCCACAAAAGAACAGCACCCAAGTAGATAGGTGTAGTTGCTACTTTGTTTTCTGAGCACTAAATAAAACATACACATACCTTTCCATTTGATTTTATCAACTCATCCACCATTTCACTGATTCGCACGTCATCGACTGTAATTAGACGTGGTGGGATTTTCACCCAAGAAGCAATGTTCATCAAATCAGCATCCTTCTTCTCCTTGGCCAAAATAAATAGGGGATCTGAATTTGTTCACATGTACTCTCCTTAATTCATCAGATTTTAGCTCAATAATCATTGAAATAAATTACTCACTAATCCACAAGGCTGTATAATTATCTGGGCACAAAATGTCGAAGGGTTCGCTGATCATCAGACTTTCTGTGGGTGAATCAGTTCCGAGAATGACATCAACACCTGGAGGGGAAGAATTCATAACTTCCCTTCAAATTGCGAGTTTTTCACTGTATCACTGCACAACTCCCTCACTTATCGGAAGCTCTGGAAGTGTGGCCGGGAAAGCTCCACGAAGAACAAATTCTCGTCGTAATTCCATCAAGATTAGACCCAAACGATTTCCACCAAGATATGACGGACGAAATGCCATTGGCCGTGTGCATAGCTCCAGCAGCTACAAAGTCGTGTGATTCATTAAATGATGTACATCCTCAGAAGGTCAGAAGAAGCTTTTTCATTACGGAGTTTAAAACATCTGAGATATTCCAGGGATCACACAAGATCAAGTGAAGGCTGACACATTAATTTTTTGCGTACGTTACATATTCTATGGGGTTCCAAACAAATATTATTCTCAAGAACTTTCTGTCAAATGTAGATTAGACCAACTGTTGGAGGGATTATTGACCATACGAATCCAGGAATCT